TGCTGATAACATGGCTGCTATATGTTTTACAAAATCACCCATTGAAAACTCAAGGACAAAACATATAGATGTGAAGCTATTTTTCATTCGTGATCTATTGAACAGGGAAATTTTTGATTTAAAATATGTCCCAAGTAAAGATAATCTGGCTGATCCCATGACAAAACCGCTGACTAAGCATAACCTGATAAGATTTTGTGGAACAATTTTCTTATGAAATTTGTTTTTGTGTGTATTTAAATTAAGAGTTTTGTTTATTTGAAATAATATGTTATAAGTCATATGATGGATATTAGGTAAATGTAAAACTGTATAGTGTAGAATGTTGTATGAGTGACCAGGGGGCCCTGGGTAAATGTATTGAGTGTATGATCATACATATGTCTTTGTATTGTTTTGTAACATGTTTGACTTTCTTGCTATGGTAAAATTTTTGAATAATGGGATAAGATGTTCCCAAAGGAAAATTTTCTTAAAAATTTCTGAATGAAATTGTGATATTTATTTATTCTTGTTTTGAATTTTGTAAAGATACTGGCATTCGGTTTTATTTCAGGTCGGAGATGATGATGTGGGAGGCATTTGTTGGAAAATATAGCTTATTTTAAACCTTTTACTGCATCATCTCTCCTCCTTGAAATGTTTATTTAGTTTAGTCCTTATTTTAATGTAATATAGTAGTTACTTTTACTTCTTTTTCTTGCTGCCACTGTTTGCATTGAGAACGGACTGTTTCAACCCAATTAAGATGCAAAAACGAAAGTGATGTTACGTCATCTGAAAAGCCGATTTGTGCCGATAGCTGATTGGTTGCCGTGAGATGACGTCATTCCTACTTCGGCTCTGGCTCAACCCTTCTAGTTCCTGCTTTCCTGGCACTTGAGTGAGCGGTTTCCAGCCCCTTCAGAAGGATGCATGCAGTCCGGTGATTAAAGTGCCTTGGTTCCGGTTTGCGGGATGGCTGTTCCTGAATAAAGTTCCTTGGTGCCTGTCCGCGGGATGATTGTTCCGGAAAAAGTTCCTTGGTTCATATCCATAAAATGATTGTTCCAGAGGCTACCATATGAGTGACTGCTGTGAGCGGCATCCATGCTCTTCAATGAAGGCGGCATTTAAAACATGTGAGCGGCGATTCCTCGTGCAAACGGAGTTAGGCCGGTTTTAAGTGCTTTCAAGAACTTGATTTAAATTTCAGGTGTTTTTCTCGACCATTGATCATGGACGTTTTGAATGTGCAGCCAATTTCATTTTTAAGCCGCATAATTAATGGTTAGGACATTTTTGTTTGTATTGAATGCCAGTGTTATGGAGACCAGGTAAAAATATTATTTGATGAATGATGGTTATATTATATTTTTCCTAAGACTCTGATATTGTTGAAATTTATTTTCTGTGTTTTTATTCTTTATTATATTGTTAATAAATTGATTAAGTTTAAAACCTTTTTATTGTCTTCAATGTCTGCACAAACATATTATCTCAGGGAGCTTTTATTGCTACTACTGCTAAATGTTTAATTTCTTTAAACTTTGCTTTAGCATCAGTGTGAATAGCCTTTTAGCTATTTGCACCGTCGGTGCGATTAGCCACTGGGCATCAACACATTATAGAATAAATTCAATCACTCTTTGAATTTTCTCATGTGTGCTTACTAACAGTCCATTTCTATTAGCTGCCACCGTTAAATAATACGTGAAAAAATATAATTAACTTTATCCTTCTACGGTTAACCTTTTAATTGAGAACATATATATAGATGTGGTGGGGAGTTAACAGACAACCAGTAAAGTATTAATTATGATTTTTGAACCAATCAAGATTTTTAAAGAAGCAGGCATGAAGCTTCACAAGTGGCACCCTAACCCCCCAAAAAATGTTATTGAATTGTGGGTAAAACAAGGCTTTGTTCCAAAAGAAAATCAGGAAGTTCTTTTAATGGAGAAAATTAACGACACTCAGACGCTACTCTCAAAACGTGCCATTACAAAATAAAATATGTCACTGGCATATTCACAAAGCCTACAGACCATTTATCTACGGTCTGCTCTCATTGGATGAACCATCTGCTTGGCGGTCATATTTGGAATGGCGAGTTATCGCCTTGTATGCGTGGTAATTAACGCCAAACGGAAACAGCGTTTATTTCATTCGATATTTTTTTAGTTTATGAATGAAAGCTTAGAGGAATTGTGTGGAATATAATTTAAATAACTTACTGATCTTATTAATAGTTTACTTGTATTTGAATTTAAACTTTTAAAAGTACGTAATTGTTTTACAAGAAAAAGGTGTTTATATGGAGATAGCATATGCATTTTTTCGTCATTCTGTTGTGTAAATTTCCATAGAGCATTAATTTATACAAATAAAGGAATATTAAAAAATAAATCAAATGAAAACATTCAGTAAACATTTAAGGGCATCGGATACCTATTCTTTTTTACCTAAATTATGAAGTAAGTATAACTAAAATTATATTTTAATCCATTATGCGCTATTTCTCTTGAAGCGTTTTTCGGGATCTTGGATCGTAATCTTCCTACTGGTACCTACTACAAAGAGTACAAACCAGTAAATAAAAATAAGAAAAATTAACAAAAATAGAGAAAATAAAGGGGTTTAATTTTTAACACCTCACCCAAAGGTGTAAAGACAAATATAAAGACAGTCATTCAATAAAGTTAAAATAAAAATAATCCGTGTAGAGCAGAGTATATGAAAGCTACGAACAGGGGCAGAACCGGCGATCTAGAAGGTCTGAAAATTTTTTCCGCGTTCGTTATCGCTAAGCTGCGGTTTCTTCGGCGAGTTTTGCACAATTTTTGGTACACGACGCTCAAATACAAATTGTAAAGGTGATGAATCAGAAGTCGCCAAGCACTAAGTTCTGTAACCCTACGATTCCAGTTTTAACCAATCGGAGCAAACAGCAGCAGAAACGGTCTGTAGGCTTTGTGAATAAGCTCGCCACACGGGCGCCAGTTAGCATTTCGTTTCCGAACTAGATGGAGCGGACTGGCCCATGAACTTTTTGAAAGACGGCAAATTACCTGTTCCATCATGTATTGGAATTCCTCTTTGGTAGCTTAAAGCTTGTCTGGAGGTAAGCGTCTTGGTTTAGAGGCAATTGGAGGTCCCGTAGTTTCAATATAATGTAGCACATCGTGCTTGGGGTTGGAAATACCCATAACTGGGCACGTGATTGTAGGGAATTCTCTGAGAAGTTGATGCCATGTGGAGTTACTCGAAATCAGTTTAATGCTCAAATCTTGACTATTGCGAATTACGGATAAGTTGGTTATGGAATCTATCAAACGGCGATTCTTAATTAAATGTTGCAGATTGCGTTGTTCCTTAATCTTCTAATTGGATTCAGCTTATTTTTTGCAGACGTTTGAGCAATTTTATAAAAGTAAGCTTGAACTTTCGATTATGTTAAAAAGAATTTCCAATTCTGGAGCTGCCAAAGGATCAACAAAGTGAAAGCATGTTTCAATGTCCATCAAACAAAAAATGGATAAAGACATATCCTTTGCTTATCTAACGATTCCGAAATCTGTTTGTCAATTTCAGGCTGCTCTGCGGGGAACGTCGTGGCGCGCAATGAACTGGAAGTTGATCTGTCAGCACTATCCTTATCTTAAGGGCAGATGTTTTTTATTTTATTCGGCTTATAATTCCTTACTAAATGTAGTATTTCATCTCGATGTACTCGGTCTTTGATATGATTTAAATCAAATTCCTCGTCATTCTAATTATCACGAATACACATCAAATAGTTTTCTGGTTTTTCAATTTTCTAATTTCGACTATTTGTAATGTATGTCTTACGCATGCGCGCGTTAAAAGAAATGTTTAATAAAGTAAACAAATAAATATTAAGCTTTTTTTGTAAATTTTGATACCCTTTAGATCATAATTGCTCTTTATTTCATAAATTACGGTTTCATATTTTTAATTTTATAATTTCTGCATGCCTTCTTACCAAATTTAAATTAAGGATCCTATAATCCAGTAAAACTGATAATCCAGATTCGCTGAAGTCCCAATGAGCCCGGATTAAAGATGTTTGACTGTATTTCGGTACAGCTTCTTTCACAGCAGTTTTCAAAATTTGCAGTGCACTGTCCTCGTAGTACTACCTATAATTTTTTTTATCTTAATACAATTACTATTAGATATCATTTTATCATCATTATTGTTACAACATTAGGGTGTTAATGACATTAGCTCCATTTAATCCACTCCATGCATGAATATGCAGCTCACCTAGTGAAATAAATCAAATGTCGGTCCTAGTAAGGAAACTAAACTTATGGCATTTATCCCTTGCAAAACCCTCATGTGAGCACTTCATAACTTTTTAACATGTTATTTTTAAGTTATTTTTAATCAGCAGAAAGAGGAAGGTTCAACATGACCTCTGCAGATAGTGGGCAAATCCATTTTAAAAGTCAAGGCAGCTCATCTTCTGAATGCCCTGAGGAAGGGGAAAATCATGTGAATACTTTTCAAATTTCCAGAACGCTGGAACACATCAATGTAACTATACACCTACAATAGTTCATGCATGGGAAATGCAAGATTAATTCAAGTCATGCATACCTAATCATACATCAGCTGTCATGCACATGACAGCACTTAATATTGCAATAGCTATTATACCAGTCAACATAATCACTGGAATAAGTTTTTCCATGCCCCAATGTTTGGGGTATCACCAGTTGTACCAGCCAACACCACTGTCCCAGAAAATGCTTTCTAAGTCATATGGAGCTTAGATTTTTTACATGCGGATTAAAAATTTTAAATTTTACTAAATTGTTTATGTTACCTTCAGTTTTTGTCTGCAATAACTGTAAATAAACTTAACACATATTAAAGTGAATATATTTCATACATCAGATTGGTAGCCACATGTTGCCCTGATATTATGTATGGATGGCTCAAAGTTTAATGCTTTATTTTCTAAGTCTCTTTGTATAAAATGTATGACACTATAAACAATAAAGAATTACTTTATTTATATTGACAAATAATTCTCACAATCACAAGCTAGAAAATATGAATAACATGAGAAAAATGTATATATAGTACAAGGATTACTTATACAAATTTTTAGAACATTTATTACAATTACAATGATTTTCTAAACCATTTAGTCACAGAAGTTCACTAAAATATGATGAAATGGAAAATCTAATCAGCTGTTATTTTGACATTGGCATCTTGGTTTTGTTACATTAATGCACAAGGAATGACTGTTTAATCCGACAAAATATGAAGAATGTACCAGAGAAATAACAGCAATAAAGTCTTGTGAGAGATAATTCATCTGCATCATGAAAATGTCACTTCTCTACTCTGAAATCACTTCTGATAAATGTAGACTTGCAACTGTAAGAGGGAAAAATTATATATATAATTACAAAACAAAATATAAAATGCCTAGTATTTTCAAGCTGCAAAAAATTATCATTAAAGACAAAGTACGAAATTTAGAACCAGTGCTTAGATATATAAACACACACACATGCATAAATAGGATAGAATTATACTCTAATATTTAATCATTGCAGATGCTCCTTACATATTATATAAAGTCAGCCAAGATAGTAAAAATTATTTCGTGCTATCCTGCGGTAGTTTACCCTTTGGGAGCCAAAGGAAAATAAAATACTGTTAATCACATAGAGATACTACAGAAAAGAGTTCTTAGTATCGCCACAAAATATTCTTATTTGATAGACATTTAACAGGTGTGTAAAAGTCACACTCATGTTTAACACGCTGACTGCCGCATGCATTTTATGTGGTCTGCCTATGGCACCAACATGATTTTTTTTATTACATGATGTATATTATGTTGAAATATTACTTACAGATGACAGCATGAGTTACATAATTGTATTTAATGAATTTTTGGAGGCAGGGGTCACTGTGAATCCCGAGGCACTGCAGATCATTTTTGTGATTTATTATTCTTCAAACCATTATAGTAACAATGGTATTACTTAAAAATTTATCAGCTGCCCAACCAGTATAGTGGTTAGCGTCCCCGACTATTGTGACAAAGGGCCCGAGTTCGAATCCCGGAGAAGGTATGGATGTTTGTAAAATATATATGTGGCAAGCCGAAAGTTCTCTTGAAAGCTTGGCAGTAGGAGACGAGGGGTGGGAGACCCACGGACCCGTCTCCCAGGGTGCTCTCCATCACAATTGGGGGTGGAATTGAGCTAAATCGCACTGTCACCTGTAAGGTGCTTAATGCAATTGCCGTTCAGTAAACTTGCACTCCTTGCCACAAGGGATTTTGTGGGCTTGGCAGACAAGTTAGCATTAGCAACAACAAAAATTTATCAATATCAAAATATTTACTGTATGCATTTTTACTATTGGTCACATTGATGGGCACAGGTGGCCCCCCACAGTGCCAGCCACCAGCGACCCCCATGGCAGTCAAAGTGTGATGCCACAGAAGAAAATATGATTTTAAATTCTCATTTCTTAACTTTTCAGGCATACATAGCTAGAAGTAACTGGTCTGCTCATTAAAATATAATTTTAAAGATATAAATTCCAACAATAACTTGCTTGCCAAATATCTGCAGTAAAATTAAAAATCATTTATTCATAAAATGTTTGGGCTTTCATGTTTCTGTACCCTTCAAATTTACTAAATTTATTCCAATAGTTAAAGCTAATGAATCTTTTTCTGAAAGCTATTCAGATATGCTGCTATACTGAGCAGTAAACAATGAAATGTTGATATATAAATATAAGCAACTGCAAAAGAATTTATACACCACTATAGTTCTTTACAACTGCAAATTTTTTGAAAGTATATTTCATTGCTCCAGTAACTGAGCAGAGGTATACATCTCTACGATTTGGATTATAATTCTTTTTTTGGATGAAAATTTCTGCAATGTTAAGAACAACACATTTTACATTTAAATCTTTCTTAAGGGATAGAAATATTAAATTTTAAACTGTGATTTATTTCAGCACATTGAGCTGGTCACTAAATAACTTACTTTTTTCCTTAACCTAAACTGGAAACACCAGAATACTGAAGCATTATCTGCTGTTAACTGGCAAACTAAATTTACCGACTGCACCAATGTGGAAAATTCTCCTACCATACTCTAGTCACGTACATGGTCCAGCATCAAAATTGCTTCGGGGAGCACATGCAGCCCACAAGTTTCACACCACTTAGTGGTTTAGTAATACAGAGCCATTAGCGCACATATATTGAATGAGGATAAAGACAATAATGAGATTTTTTTATAATGATTTAAGTGCACCCCTAATGCAAAAATGTCCCAAAATGATTTAAACACTTTTTTAACTGAATGATTTCAATTCTAAAACTGGGAAGGAGGAATTTTTACCTATTAGAAAACATAGTTTGCATCTACTAGGAGCGATGGGATTAGACTGATTTTGGTGCAGAACATTAATTACGTGGTCATTAGAATCACCATATAGAAAACAAATTACAATACATTCAGCACAAATATATAAAATTCATTATACACTCAGCACAAATATATAAAACAAAGTAACTTAGAAGTCGCCTGAAAGATGTACCAATCTCAGCAAAAGATGAAAACATGTTTCTTACAGCTACTTTTAACAATTATTAAAAATGCTCGCTCAGCTAAAAATAAGGACAGATACGCGTCCAACAGTTTGGAGTGTGATCTCAGACATAGATGTATATCTGGCACTTGCTACGCATATTGTCTACAACATAAGTTTCGGAAATTCTTCATTTGACGTTTAAGTTCATTTTGAGTTGCTATATGGTTTGACAGAAGATTCTGACTTCGAGCAATCACATCCTATGTGTGCTCTATGAGATTTAGATCAAGGGAATATGCAGGCCATGACATGCGCTCAATATCTTCCCCTACTGGTGTGTCGACACTTCAGCTGTACTATGTAGGCAGGCATTGTCATCAATAAACATAAAGTCTGGACCAACTGCACCACTGATACCCACATATTGAAGACTGATAGGATTTCGGACAATTTCAGTGCAATACCGCTATGATGTTCACTATACCTCCGTGAAAGACGTAAAGCGAAGTTCTGCCACTATGCATGACGTCCATTAACACAATTACTCCAATTACATTTGATCAGTTTCCTAGATATTCTGTGGGCAGTAGTAAGCTACCTTCACTAGCTGGTGTCCAAAGTCACTACCGATGGTGAAGCAGGATTTGTCAGAGAACTTTCTGGACCACTGCTGCTGACCCAAAAAATATGCTGCTTATAGCAACATAATCCTTCCTGACGCTGTGCTTGTAGCTAAATGCATGTGAGAAGTATATGAGAACATAAGTCAACACTGTTTAATTGCCAAGAAATGGTTCTCACAGGTGTACACGGCAAGGGCAAGGAGTAGCATTTATGTTCCTTTGAGGGGGGGGGTTAAGACTCCATCATACTTTTGCTGAGCACTTCCACCCTTGGCAACCTTCTTTAACTCTTTGATGGGCACACTGAAAGTTTTTCAGCTTTTAATGAAATTAATTGATAACTAGTACCTTTGAGCTTCCTAAAAGTGAAATGTATTGAAAAAATAAATAAATAAATGTTGGACACCTTGGAAGGGAGGTGGGTGGCAGTTTGGGAATGAAACCACTGCCCATGTAGAACATGAAATCTTAAAACTTTTTGGGCATTGATTTTTACAGCAAAATAATACATATAAGTATAATTAGTTATGTTTTTTGTCAAATATTAACAAAAATATCATTTCTGAAAATTAACTCAAAAATTTAAAAATATAGTACAAATAATTTATTCTTATTTCAAGAGGAAATTTCACATTATTTTATTCTAAATGTATAAATACACTAAATAAATGCTAAAAATATAAAATTTATAACATTCTATCTTCATATTTTCAACAAACATAGTATACAGAAGTTATCAAAAATACATATTAATACTCACATATTCAACAGCTTTAAAAATTATGGAACTTTTAAAAGCATGTGATGCTTTTCTGATAATTACATAACGGTACAAAATAAAAAAACACAGCTATCTTTAAAAAGAGACTAAAACAATAAAAAGTTCCTGCTCGATCTTTTATTTACTTTTCTTTTCTGAAAGGAAAGAGCAATACCTTCTCCCTAAACTTATAACATACTCATTGTGTTGCATAACAAACTAATCACATTACATCCTAACAATCAGAAAAATACATATCAAAGTTTTAGCTCTAATATCATATTACAGATCACATTATACCTTAGCAATCAGATAATACATAAGAATGTTTTAGCCCTAAGATTGCATTACACTTTAGCAAACGAAAAAGACATAGGAATATTTTAGCTCTAAGAGGGCAGTGGTTTTGGTAGAAAACCATATGTTGAATTATAAAAAAGATGCAAAATTTATTACTGATTTCTCTCAATATTAGTGTTTTTACATATAATAATACATAAGAATGTTTTAGCCCTAAGATTGCATTACACTTTAGCAAACGAAAAATACATAGGAATATTTTAGCTCTAAGAGGGCAGTGGTTTTGGTAGAAAACCATATGTTGAATTATAAAAAAGATGCAAAATTTATTACTGATTTCTCTCAATATTAGTGTTTTTACAAATAAAACAGTATGCAAATAAAAAATTCATAAGTTATACTTGAGTAACTAGATACATTTTTATGGAGTTTGCAAGGAAAGTTGAAAATTTTTTATCTTCGTTTGTTTTAAGTTTAACCACGTCTAAATTGATACAGAATAAAGGCTTTGTTTTATGCTGCCACCTGTTGGTTCTTTTGAGTGTTAAATACATGGAAAAAACACTGCACAATTGAGGAAAAAATTTCTTAACAGCTAGTTTCAAATGTTGACTCCGCACCACAAGGGGGTTAACTGCAGGACAATAATCTTTGATCCACCTACTGCCTTAGCAACTAGAGTACCTGGAGCTCGATCAAGATCATACACATTCAAATGATGCCTTACAGACATTCTGAAAATTTACAGTAATATTTTCAGAAACTGAAGTGATTTTCTCTTAAATGTAACTGCTTGCAATTTTGAATATGGAAACATTGTAATATAATACTGTAATAATTACTGTAAACTGGAAGTTCCATGAAGAAATCTGAGAATTAAGATTCCTGCAAATATCTCATTAAAAAGAGAAAGTAATGCATAAGGTAAATAACAGTGAGACATATTGCCTGTGTGAGCCTAGAATACGACCTGGTGCAAATCGAGGAATACTAAATTAAGTTTGCTTTGAAATCACGACAAAGGAAAAAATCATATTTCAGATAGATGGTTATCGAGCTGCTTTTAGAGTCTTGTGGAAGGGAGAAATGATTGACCTTTAGAAAGACACTGAGTTGGCTTTGCAGTCCTGGCAAAGGCAACACCAAACATTAGTGGGTGGTGAACACTGGTCACTAAAAATCTGATGAATTATCTTTCAGCACTGAATCAAAAAATTAGTTCAGCTATTCCCCCATTTTCAATACAGAAAGAAAAAGTTGCATCTTCCCTAAGGGTGATTTGGTAGTCTTCCATTTATTAGCAATATCAACAGCATCACTAGACCAAAATCTGACATTATGAAGATCAAAATCTGAACAGATTGTTAACAAATAATGTCCATACTCATTTCACCTGCACATGTACAAATTCATGGAAACAATGATTCACATTTTACATTCACTGTGTTGTAAATGTCCTGAAAATGCACCAGATATGTCTTTATTCCTTTTCCGTAGTCATTACAGTAATTATCATTTAAATTTCTTTTAGCAGTCCTCGGTGTTATAAATAAAATTCGCAGAATGGGCATGTGTAATACATTGTATTCTGACCAAATACGGAGGAAATGAAAACACACAAACCTTGAATAGCTACTGCATAAACACGGACTGTAGTAATGTGACCAAATAAGGTAAATCAAAACCCCGTCCTTATTTTTACACCACATTAATGAGGACTAGATAGTACCTACATAGTATTGTAACCATATTAATACACATGTTCACTCTCAGAATGCATAACCAATGCCATTTTATAAACCTTGTAAAACTACTTCCCTGGCTCAACATTCTACTATAAGACAAAATTTTTAGATATTGATTAAGTTTTCAGAATTTAACTAGAAATAAAATACTTTCTTCTACCTCTATTATTCAAGCTTGAGGCCTTAAGTGAACAATACATTTCACTCAAAAAATTATAAAATCATATCTTTTTAGATTAAAAATCCTTTTAAATTCTAAGTAAATTCAGTATCTGATTAACATAAACTTTGAAAATCAATACTTAAAAAATAAAATGAGTAAAGAAAAAAAAAAAATACTAAAAATTTACCCCATATGATGGATTTTCCACTGTCTTCAAAGGTATCATCCTCTTCCAAGGTTCCGACTTTAACCTTCTAAATGTAATCCATGAAAAATGCTAAAAGGCAATATATATATATATATATATATATGATGCATGTGTATATATAATATATATAGAGCGAGAGAGAAAGAGTATATATAATACTACTGACTTTGCTTCGACTTAAAATGCTAATACATGTAAGAGCAACTAAAAATTTTGAGAAATATTACAAAAAATGTTTTCAAAAGCAATCAAGCTGTATTATGTAACACTGTATTTTATGCAGAGATAAAAAGTTGCAAGCTCTTTTTGGAGAGGGCTGGATGAGTAGCTTCACTTGAAGGCAACAAATTTACACAAATCATACCATACATTAGAAATTATCAACATTTAACCCTTTGTTGCTCAGTGTACATGGAACACCCAAATTGAATCGCTTGTGAAATCGTTAAATTCAACCGTCAATGGATAAAAATGCCATTTTAATATACTTCAAATTTCTCTTTTTAAAAAGTAGATGGCAGCATATCAGAAGGAGACCCAGAATTTTCATTTATGATGTGTTATTAAAATCCACTTATTTTCTAGTAATTTTCTATATTTTTTTTCTGACGCAAAAAAAAATTTGTTTGAAAAAAAATTTCCGCATAATTTTGATGGCTGTACTCTATATTATTTGTTATATATTTTTTTTACATTTTTCATACAAAAAGCATGTGCAGAATCATTAAATAAAATGGGGTGTTCCATTGGTGGGAACACTGAGTCTTTAACAATCTCATGCTATTGTGCATCAGAATATCTGTCTTAGGAGAAAACATCTGTTGTATATGTTTCCTATTTACGTTGTTTTGGGGGAATGAATTCAAACAACGCAGTCTTGAGGCGTGAGGTGTGGTTTGTGCTATGAAAGCCCTAATATGGGCATCTTGAAATTTTTGTGAGTAGTTTTCAGGTGGGAACTTTATCAGTAGCTTGAGGCATCTTTACTTAGGGGAGCTGCACGAATTCTTTTGCTATCGCTTTTTAGTCTCTTTTAGTCTCATTCCCGTTTATTTACAATAACTGTGTAGATATTTTTTGCACATGCATATCTTATAGCTTATTTTTCTTCATTGTTAATATTAATTGCAGTTAATTTTTTATTATTAATTTTCCATAAATGGCAGGAAAACCCTCTTCGGAAAGAGTTTCTCTTTTTTCTTGGAATTCTAAACATATTGTTGCACGGAACAGAAGCCGCACAAAACAAGTTTTTCTGTTCAAAACCTGCAAAGTTGGTTTGTGCTTCTATCAAAACGATGTGACATGCTTTGAAATTGAAAAAATTGTAAATATTTTTGTACGTAGGACTTCTGTATATACATATATTCATCTCATTTATCCATATATTCAAGATTATTGTGTATATCTAGAAAACCATGTATACAGCCATAATACATTGTTTTTTCATTACTATACATAAGCTTCTACTAATTTCCATGCTTCACTGCAATGCTCTCTTAGTCGCCCTTTTAAGAGCTCTGGTGGTGCAGTGTTCCACCTCATGGAACAGCCACAGAATTGAAACGGTAAGCACAATTTTTACAAAATTTTATCTGTATACTCCTTTAGGCCTAGATAAACCACATACAACTTTTCTTGTTAAAATACCGACTTTAAAGTGTAGTGCACCACAAAGGATTAAAACATTTTCTTGTCTTATAAAATGGAAAAATAAAATTTATTTGAGATGCAATTATATTTGTAGTCATGCCTGCCATATTACAAAAAATAATGTAGTGGAACTACCACAAATATCAAATAGAAAATATAGGTACAAGTAAAATAACACGCAGAACAAATGGTTAAAATACTATAGCCACAAGAATCACCACAAGTTGCATGAATATGCAATTCTGAAAGCTAAACAAACCTTCAACTTGAGAATTGAAAATGAAGAGGAAGCACGAGTTCATGCGAACAGTATAAAAAAATTACAGATAGTTCCAGCTAAGGAATGGTATCATCTAGGAATAAAAAGAAAAAACAGCTGCAAAATAATTTTTTTAAAGCTGAAAGTAAGGATGGTTTACAATTTGTATCAACAACTATAGTGAAAGATTTTTAATGAATGTGAAATACCTAAATGAAATCTAATTTGAGAAGGGAAGATGTTTTTTGAATAATTTTGACTAGAAAATTGGCAAATGTCATATTTTGGGCAACAGTTGATTTACATGTTTCCTTTTTCCTAACATGTCTCATGCTCCTTAATGCGAAATTTCAAAGCTTTCTTAATTTGACCAATGTATATTAAGCCACATTTGCAAGGAACACTGTATATACTCCAGAAATTCATATCCAGTACGAGGTCCTTAAGCACGGAACTGAGAATTTTATTGATAGGAAAGGATATTCTGTGTAGTTCAAGTTTGCCCTTGATCAAGGACTCAACTACTTAAGAGTGATTGCAAAGTTGAAAAAGGCTTTTTACCTTTTATCATTGACCAAATAATTAATAAATTTTCATTTCAATATAACAGAAAGCATTCTTTTGTTTTGAATGTTTTTGTAATACCTTCCATATTCCCCCCCCCATTTGCAGTTTCATATTTAAAGACTCCATTCCTGATATTCCTTGCCAATGCAAATTAATATAGATTGGTCAAATTAACCAGTTAACTGTGGGGCCCTTGTTTAAGACTGTGCACCGTTTTGTGTCGCCAGAATCGAGCCATGACGAGTGAGTATATTCGTCAATCACAGAGTAAGTTGCGCTAGTAAGATATTGGATGAAAAAGATGGGTTTATTTTATAAAATTGAAAATTTTATTACTAATATTTACTTATTTGGTTAACATAAGCATATATTACATACATATTAAACTAAAAATGCAATAAATTAAATATTATACATATAAAAGTAAGAATTTAAATTCCTGCTGTGGAGTAATATTCAGCAAAACAGGGTACTATACACAATGGGACTTTGCAAATCGAACACCAGTAACGCGACTCCTTCCTGATCTTACGTTTATAGCAATGCGAACACCTTCGCGTAGGGTTGTTTTTTTCGATGTTCCGGCTATATAATCCGGAACATCATTCCCACCTAATTGACTTATATTAGGTCTTAAATGGCAGAGTTTGTGTCGATTTATTTCTTTCAACTGAATACATCGCAAAAGTGTCTTCAATAATATTCAGCAAAAAGTTGATACGCGATAATGTTCCATTACTTTTTTTTTATATAATATGAACGCATTCAGACACATAATGTCTAAGAAATGGAGAAATATCTTTTTGTAGTACTTTTTGAGTCATTTTCTTGCTGTGGAGAAATGCACAGCTACGCTAATTCCATCGCTCATATCCACTCCAGCAATTTTTTTATTATAATCAATCACTAGCTCCAGTTTTCTTTCTTATTATTTTCCTTTTCTCTGTTTCTATTACGTTGCTTTACACTCGTGTTGTTTACACTGCTTTATACGCATGACGAGTATACTCGTCAATACACAAAATCGTGCCGCTTCTCCATGACAAGTATAATCGTCAATCACAGTTAACTGGTTAAGAAATCTTTGAAATTTTGCACTAAGAAGCATAGACATAATTTAGGAACAAAAAAGAAACATGTTAATCTTGTATTGCCAAACACTGCTGGCTTAAAAAAAATACATTTTTCTTTTCTGACACCAGTTGTTATGTTATTTTCTTCCCTCACGTTGGCACGGGGTTCGTGTGGACTTGGAGTGAATAACGACAACACTTCATGAAGTATCGAAACACACTTTATTTATCAATATTAATCAAGACAACTCCAAAACACTTTTACAGTCGTCGAAGATCTATTATAAACACGCTGGAACAATCAGCAACACAGCCTTCACACTGTTATGCAATAACGGTGGAGACAGCTTCACTGCAAAGCACCAGAGTAGAGCTCCCGACTCTGCTCGGTCGTTCTCGGAACTCCACGTACTCTCGAGACTCTCCACACTACAACTCACGATGCCCTCGACAACACACAGAGCACAGCTCCCAACTCTTCGTTCAGTTGTTCCCGGAGCTTAACACACTCTCTCGATGATGCACTAAGAGACTCTTTGATGCACTCGACGACCAACTCGGGGCTAGACTTCAAGGCACTTGCTCAATGACCAACTATCAGCTCGCTAGACGAGGCACACACTAACTGACTGTGGACCAGCAGGGTTTATTTAGCTTTCGTTCTGTGTTCGAGAACATTCTGGGCTAACCGGTAAGAATTCGTTCCAGAAGATTCTCCATCTGTCTATGACATGTCGCCAAATGTGGCAACCCTACATTCCTTTGTCATTTTATGGCAACCCTAAAAGTGCTTTGCAGGAAAGCCATCTTACCAAGCCTGTACATTTCGTAACACTCTTTTCCGTTTCTCTATTCGCAAAATTATTCAAAAACCATCTTCAACAGAGAAATTAGATTTCCTAGAAATGACATTTTTCACTTAGCATTTTTTTAAATCTTTGAAATTCCAATTTTGAAACATCTTATTTAGTTGTGATGATTTTAAAGAAAAAATAATTCCAGTACGCCTGTTAAATTGACACGGTCCATGAATCTAAGACTGCTATATCAAACTAGTCATCCAGAGGCTGCTTCCAGCCCCCTATATATTTCAATTATGTATTTGTAGCAAATATGGTTTCTATAGTTTTAGAAAAATAAAGATAACGGCTGAGTTTGCACTTAAGTTATTTTAACATCCTTGTCTGTATGCTTGTATGTCGTATGCCAGACTATGTGTTTAGGATAGAGTGGAAGCATTTTCTACATCAATACAATCAGTAAATTATTCCACCATGCAACAGCTGGTTAGAATTTTGGTGTTTCTCCCCCTTATTAAGTTAGTACTTCTGATATACAGTACAAAGTCCGTAATCCGGATGTCCATTATCCGAAATGATCTATAATCCGGACCTCAAAGCTACAAACTTTTTTTTGGGTATGCTTTATGCATGCGTGTTTAATGTATAATGGACGGTATAAGCTAGACTAAAATTATCTTTACTGATTCTAAGGCATTTCAGTTAATGTTACAGATTGCGCTGTTCCTTAATCTTCTAATTGGATCCGGCTTATTATTTTTTGCAGACTGTCAGAGCAATTTTATAAAAATTAAGCTTGAACTTTCGATTATGTCAAAAAGAGTTTCCAATTCTGGAGCTGCTAAAGGATCTGCAAAGCGAAACCATGTTTCATGTCCATCGAACAAAAAGTGGAATTGCTGCAAAAAAATGGATAAAGGCATATCCGTCTCAAAATTATGCGAGGAGTATGGCATTGGATGACACAAGAAAAAAGAAAAAGGAACTTTTTGAATTTTTTGTGGAAGCATCTTAAACAACTTACATTTGATAGAAATGTTTAATAAAGTAGGCAAATAAATATAAAGCTGCTTTTTTTTTTTTTTGTAAATTTTGATCCCCTTTAGATCATAATTGCTCTTTATTTCATAAATCACTGTTTCATATTTTTAATTGTATAATTTCAAGAAATCTTACCAGATTTAAATTGATGATCTATAATTCTGAAAAACCCCTAATCCGGAATCGCCGAAGTCGTGATGAGTCCAGATTACAGACTTTGTACTGTATATATATTCCTTGAGTCAATTACCAATTGGTTAGCTGGATGCACACCTGCACTGTTCGTATCACTATATAGTTGGAGACAAAGTACTGTATGGCTTTTATGACTTGTTTATTGGTGCTTTTTGTTACATCTACTATATCAATACCTATCATTTGGGGAACGGCACATAACTTTTGGATGTTGCTTTCATATGCGAATTCATCTTGTTGAATTTAAGTTGCAAAATAATAATAATAATAATAATAAAAAAAAAATCTGAAATGTTTCAGATTTTAAATTACGTCCAAAGGGGCATTTTTTAACATTTTGTGTGTTACCTTTCTTTATTAAATATCATGTTCCTCGCACTTAAACCATAAGATCCAGTGCAACAGCAATATCGCAAAATAGTTTTAAAACGAGCATATCTTTAGAATTTCCGATACAGAGACTCACGCGCTGGAGATAAAAATGTTTTTTCTGCACAACGTTGCCATTGCTCACTTTGAAATCCTTGAGTTTGTTAATCAAAAATTCGTCAAAGTTTTAAAAATAGGAAATCGATCATAAAACAAATTTCAAATTTCAAATTTGGTCTTCCACATGCTCATATTCGTTGGAGGATTACGTTATTCAAAATTCGATGACTCTATGTACCGTTGTTTTATCACAATACGAGAAATATACATACATTTATGCAGATTTTTCATTATTTAATTTCTTCAAATATAATGCAGGACTCTAACATTTTGTAGCAACAGTTTGAAAAGTGAACCGATATTTATGAGTCCGACGCAAAATGCCAAAACGAAACTAATAGTCCTTCGGGATTCAAATCCCTTTGGACTAATAATAATAATAATATGGATTTTAACTAAGAGATTAAACTACACAAACAATGTCTTTATAAAAAAATGCTGTTTTTACTCCAAGGCTACAATTTTTATCAGAATTGAAATGCCTTCAAGTGTCAAGTAAGAAATAAGGAAGCTTATAATTATTTACTTACAAACCATGTATTTTTCTCCATATATCACAGAAAAATTTCATGCATCACGAAGGAAGTGGTTGTTTTTGATTAAATTGAATATGTGTATAGCTCATACACAGATAATAAAATGATTAAAAAATCAAGAAAACTAAGCTTTAAAAACATTAGATATTAGATAAATACATATTTTAAGGGCACTTCAGTTACTTCATGAAAAGTACAAAGAGAAGAAATTTTCTATTTTTCATATTTACCTTATTCTTTAAAGTACCACGCAATCTACTTATTGGCACGCGTTCTGGATTCAAGCGAATGTGACATGAAAATGTGCATGCTATAAAAAAATCAATATATATTCAGCTTAAAATTAATAATTTATCTATTTCAATTTTTTTTAAATACAGAATACATCAATATAGCTTTAATGATAAATGGCACTTCAATGGATTAATCAAAGCTAACGCAATTGTTTTCAAAAAGCAACTACACATACAAAAGTCTCAAGACTAGTTCAGATATGTATTAATGCTTAATATAAATCTTGCATTTCTCACACAAATAATAACATAACAGCATACATTGGCCTTCCATTAATTAACCAATAATTATTGAGAAAAAAAGCTGGCATACACTGATGACAAACTATTAATTCAGCAGAGCAGTGAATACCATATTTACCACCTACCTTAGTACAAGGTTCAGAATTTTTTTTTTTTTTTTTTAATATTCATGTAATTTTTTTCCTTCCTCAAGGCATTCACAAGTGTGAGCTCCCTAAATTTTAAACTGGATTCATCCACACAGTGGTTCTTTTCCTCTTACTAACAGAGATAAACACCTGCAAACTACCTTTGAAGGTCATGCCAGATCTTCCCCTTTAAATTCACTAACAATGGTAACATGTTGAAAATAATGCAGCATACACATGAGGATATTGCAAGGCACAAGTGGCATTAGCTTGATTTTATTGTTAGGTAGCCACAGCCAGCCCTTGCTATATCATGGAAAATGGTATAAGGATTTTGTCTAAATGTCCTAATTGTTGAACTTCTATCCTAAGTAGAGTTATCCATCTGCAAAAAGGCAAACATCAATTAGTCAGCTGCACTTTTATGCAAGCACAACTTTATCTACTCTGACTGGCTACAGCTAAAGCCCTGTTCAACTGTTGTGAAAAGTATTCAAGTATCTTCTCTTTTTTTTTAAAATAAAAAAAAGCAAATAATAATGTATTATTTAGTTAATAAAATCTGGGAACAGTGAGTATTGTCATTAGGAGATCCTGTTGTGCAATGCTGTTGTTCCAATGATGCAGTTTAAACTTAGTAATTCTAATTAAAACTACCCTATTTTTTGCTCTGCTATTTGTTTTCTGTTTTAGTTATAGAAACAGTTTTTAGGTTATCGGCCAAGCAAACTCACGTACTGTGACGTTTTGACTTGATAAGAGAAGAATGAAATTCATTAAGCCTAACCTAGTGTTTCGTTTTTGCCTTAGCAATCGAAAGTGGTTTAAAAATCAAAGGATGAATTATCCACAATCCAAGTAAGGCTTTTAGCAAGCGAAAGCGATTGTCTTATATGGAAATATAAAAAATTATTTTGAGCTATCATCCTGGTGCTTTTTCAAAATTGAGGAAGGAACTAGTAGATGATACAGCTGCTCAACAAGAGAAATGTAATGAAGCTGTTAAAAGTTTCAAACTGTAAATGTAAGTGCTACGGTGTTTTAACAAATTCTATGACAGAAGAAACTCTTCAAAATATTATGAGATTTCAGACTGCTAAAGAAGGATGGTTGGAATTGCGTAAGTTATTTGAAGCATGGTCGGAAAATCAATTGTATCAACTGTATTATATCAAACTGCATGTACATATATATATATATTATATCAACTATATATAATATACGCATGCAGGTTTTTCAGTTCAAATGGAATAAGTAAAATAGTATGGTAGCTTATCTTTCCAAATAAGAAAATTTACGGAACAAGTTGACTTCAGGACTTGAGAAGATAAAAGAAAATAAGTTACCTGACATTTTTAATCAACTGCAAAATTTCAGATGTTTTACCTAAACAATACCATTCATTTAAATCAATTTCATAACCCTTGGGTGAAGACAAGGGAACAGTTGAAGAGTTAAAGGTGCAGCTTTGCTCTCATGAGAGTTTAAAAATCATTAGAACAGCAATAGGGCTGAACAAGTGGCATTAGTAATGTCGAAATATGAAAAACAAAAGCAATATAAAAAAGGCAAATTCAGAAGGTAATCATGAAAAGAAGATATCTTTAATTATTGCAAGCAAAAATGACACTGAGTAAGAGTGCAAACAGTGGACTGCTGATGAAAAACCACCCAAGAATAGGTCAACAAAAATCATTCAAGAAAATACAGGCAGTTTAGTGCTGATGTCTATTCGCGAAGAAGGCTGTGAAGTTGAGACTGATCCAATATCATTTTGGATTGGTAGTGGAGTTACAAGACATGTCACAAACTGTTCCACACATTTTACTGATTTCGTGAAGTTTCATAGTCCCTGTAGCATCAAGGCTGCTGGAAAAGAAACTTTAGTTGCTCTTGGTAAAGACACAGTGTGTGTGTCAAGACAACTATCGATAATAAAATCCAAAGAATCTACTTAAAAGATGTTTGGTTTGTAACTAAGATAAACAGAAATTATTTCTTTACTTGCTGCTCAAGACAGAAATCAGAATAGTAAATTTACTGCAAAAGCTATAGAATGCTGGTTAAAAGTTAAGAGTCAAACACTACTGTTTGGAACTCGCAGTGTATATGGTACCTTATACAAGGCAGCTATTAGACCAATCATGTCTGAGAAAATTATATAAGTACATGCTGTGAAAGCAGATAATTCCTTGTTGCAGTTATATCATCAAAGATGGGGACATCAAGATAAACAAGAACATGCATGAGAAAGAATTAGGCACTAAAGTGCCATTTCAAAGAAAATTGTATGAATCATGTATTTTTGGCAAAGCACACTGTATATCATTTGGCATAAGAAAGGAAGCCAGCAAGCCTGCTGAATTAATTTCAGCTGATGTTTGTGGACCTTTTGATGAACCTTTACAGATTAAAAGATACTGCATAGCATTTAAAGCCAGCTATAAAAAGTTTCAGTATAGTTCTTTTTTCAAAGAAACATCTGAAGCTGCAAATATGTTAAAGCATATGCTTGCACATGCTAAAACCTTAGGACATTGTCAAGAATTTCCCAGCTACAACGGAGATGAGTTTGAGAGTGATAAAGTGTATGTAATTTTGCATAGCGAAGGAACAGCTCAAAGACTAAAAGCACTTTCTACTCCTGAGCAAAATGGCTCCAGTGAACAAGATACACATACAATAACTGAAATAGCAAGAAAATTTACATACTCAAATTCTGAAACTAACTGTCATATATGTACTACACATAACTGGCAAATCATCATTAGAGGGCCTGAGTCCTTTTGATGTATGGATTTAAAAAAAAAAAAAAAAAAAAAAAAAAAAAAAACTTGAATAAAACATCTACACATAACAGGAGCCACCTGTTATGCTCATATTCCTGAACAAAGGAAAATGGACAATCAAGCTACAAAGGCTTATTTTATTGGATATCATAGAGATGAAAGAAGGCAACAATGCCCTGTTCACGTGATGTTATATTTAATGAAAAGGTCACAAATTGCCCAGAAAGGGTGCAGTTGCCCATTCAAGTTAAGACAGACTAATTTCAGACTCCAAGTATTATTCAGAAAAAGATAAGTCAATAAAGCTTCTTAGTGAAGGCGATAATTCGATGAAAAAAACGCAATAAATAAATATCTTGAAATATATCAGAAGACTCTGAAGAACAGAAATGTGAGGATATTAATTTGAGAAATAATGTATAGTCAAGATACCTAAGAAATACAGTTAAATTGAGAAAGCGAAATGTTTTGAAAATTATATAATGACAGGTGAAATTTTTATTGCTGATTCTAAAGAAGCTGGTTCTTATGAAGAAGCTATCAACTGTACCTGGGGATTGACTGGAGGGCAACTACCAGCATTCTGGCTAGGACCTATACCTAGACAGACTCAATTTCTGGGATAAAAAAATTAGTCTTCACAGTGACTAGAACCATCATTTATTGTCGTAGGTTCAGGCTCAGCAAGGAACATACTGGTACTGACGTGTCTGCCCTTTGGCTATAGGGACATTACATGGCTAGATATTGAAGGTTGTCCTTGGGGGTTTGGCTCCCATTGGTCAACACTGGGGAACAGTCTTTGACATCAATATTCATTCTCTTTGTTGATGGCTGCCTTGACTTAATTTCATAACTCCTGACTGTGCAATTTTGTGCTAAAGGCTTCTCTAAGCCTAGTTCTGGGAGTTCCTCCTTGTATACTGTAAATAAAGTGTATACTGGAAAGAAGATAAAAATTCCGAGATGGTATCACGGATGGAAAATGAAACATGAACTTTAGAAAAATTACCACAAAATGCTAAAGCAATACAATGAAAGTGGGTTTACAAAATCAAAAAGGATTCTGATATTTCTATTGATAATTTAAAGGCTAGACTTATTGCAAAAGGGTTTACTCAGTGTTGTGGAGTTGATTGCAATGAAACACTTAGTCCAGTAGCAAAGTTAGGAACTGTTTGTTCAACTTTCAGTATTACAGCCAACGAGAAAATGTATCTTTCTCAATTTTATGCCTGTTCAGCATTCTTATATGGAGCACTTGAAGAATACATATACATGCAGCAACTAGAAGATTATAGTGATGGTTTTGACAACGTCTGTAAACTGAAATGCAGTTTACAAGGACTAAAACAAACTTCATGCTGTTGCAATAAATATTTTGGAAACTTTGTGCCACAACTTGGCTTTAGGACAAGTGAAGCAGATCCACATTTATATATAAGAAATAAAAATGGCAAGAAGCTAATCTTATACTTATGTGTAGATGAAGGTTTGGTAGCATCAAACAGATTTACAAGAAATTGAAAAACTTCTGAAGAGAACTGAAGTCGAGATTCAGAATCATGACTAAACTAGCAGTAAACTTCCTTGAACTTGATTAAAGATCTTGAAGATGGAAATATCAAAATTAGTAGGCAAGCTTATTTAAAAAAACTTCAAAAATCTGAGATAGAAGAGAAAACCCATATCAACTCCTATCCCAAAGGAAAGTTTAACTGAAAAGTGGAAGGGAGATGAGATAAACACAGACATTTTTGTAGGAGCTTTAACCTACCTTCTGTTAGGTACAAGACCAGATTTAGCTTCATGTGTTTCATTCTTTCACGTTACCATAAAAGGTTAATCGAAAGAGATTTGGATAAATGTGAAATGTCTATTCAGATACATAGCAGATTCCCTTACTAAAGGTGTCACATGTAAAATAAACCAGGAGTTCTAGACTGCTATAGAAATGCAGATTTTGGAGGATGTCAAGAAACACTGAAATCTACAAATGGCGTAGTGATGTTATACAGCTGTAAAGCTATATCACAGGTTAGCCAAAGACAGCCAATCATTGCAATCAACAGCTGAAGCAGAAATAATTGCAGCTAGTGAATGTTCTAGAAAAGCTAATTGGTTAAAGTGATTATTTAGTGATGTTACCAAGTTACTTAAAGTTTCAGTAATTCGAGCAGATAATACTGCCTCAGTGAGAGTGTCACAAAATCCCGAGCTTCATTCAGGTACAAAACACATCAACGTCAAGCACCTTTTCATGCGAAAGAAACTTCTGTAAAAGCAAATCACTGTGCAGCAGATACCCACAGAGGAGCAAGTTGCTGACATAATGTCCAAGCCTTTATTTAAAACAAGACTTGATTCTTTGTAATAAGATGAGACTCTTGTGACTTTCTCTCCTAGTTTATTATTATAACTGTTCTTTTTCTTATCGATAAGGAGAAGTTAAAAAAAGGAATGTGAATAATTGTTCCAAACATGATGGTGTCAAAACTACCAACAGACTATTTCACTTTGATTCTAGTTTGATTCAATACTGTAGAATACAGGAAGACAAATTGAAAGAAGAGTGTGTTTTGGAGATCAAAAAACGATTAACCCGTTCAATACGGGCGTGTCATATATGCATCAGCAGCAAACGTTATCTCACG